TTGTTCTTTCTCAGAGAAAGTATGTTTTGGATCTTCTTTCAGACACTGGGATGTTAGGGTGCAAACCGGCATCATCAACCATGATTCCAAACCTGAAGCTTACTGCTGAAGATGAGGAGTTGAAAGATTCGACAGTTTATCAAAGATTGGTAGGTAGACTTATCTACTTAGCCAATACTAGGTCGGACATCTCATTCGCAGTCAGCCGAGTTAGTCAGTTCATGCACAGGCCATGTCAACCTCATCTTGATACAGTTTATCATATTCTTCGGTACCTCAAGTCTTGTCCTGGACTTAGGTTGTTTTATGCATCAGGATCTCAGACCGGTTCTCAAACCTGTTATTCAGATTCAGATTATGAAGGAACATGTGATGGTCGATCTACTACGGGCTTCTGTACTTTTCGAGGTACTCATCTTATCTCTTGGAAGAGTAAGAAGCAGTCAGTTGTCTCCCACTCGTCAGCAGAGGCAGAGTATCGGGCACTGACACTTGACACATGCGAGATTATCTAGCTACGATCGATTCTTGGCGAGTTGGATTTTTCAGTGACCTTTCCATCCATATTATATTGTGATAATCGATCTGCTATTCAGCTCGCTTCGGACTCTGTACTACATGAGAAGACGAAACATATAGAGATCGATGTTCACTTTCTTCGGGATAAGGTTAACAGTGGTATTGTCATTCCATCGTTTGTGGGGACCAGTGATCAGGTTGCGGATGTTTTTACCAAACCTGTCANAACATGTGATGGTCGATCTACTACGGGCTTCTGTACTTTTCGAGGTACTCATCTTATCTCTTAGAAGAGTAAGAAGCAATCAGTTGTCTCCCACTCGTCAGCAGAGGCAGAGTATCGGGCACTGACACTTGACACGTGTGAGATTATCTAGCTACGATCGATTCTTGGCGAGTTGGGTTTTTCAATGACCTTTCCATCCACATTATATTGTGATAATCGATCTGCTATTCAGCTCGCTTCTGACTCTGTACTACATGAGAGAACGAAGCATATAGAGATCGATGTTCACTTTCTTCGGGAGAAGGTTAGCAGTGGTATTGTCACTCCATCGTTTGTGGGGACCAGTGATCAGGTTGCGGATGTTTTTACCAAACCTGTCACTCTGTCTATTCTTCGGGACTCCGTTGTCAAGCTTGACTTAGTTGACATTTTTGCGCCAAGCTTGAGGGGGAGTGTTGGAGATATAGCAGCAACCTAATTTATTAGGGTTTTATTAAGTTTTCTTTTTTTACCTTTTTGTCCTTATTGTAACTCTCATTGACTATATATACGGGGCTCTACACTTAGTTTGTATCCCTTTTTACTCACGATTATTTCAAGTTATTNTTGGGATAAGGTTAGTAGTGGTATTGTCACTCCATCGTTTGTGGGAACCAGTGATCAGGTTGCGAATGTTTTTACCAAACCTGTCACTCTGTCTATTCTTCGGGACTCCGTTGTCAAACTTGGCTTAGTTGACATTTTTGCGCCAAGCTTGAGGGGGAGTGTTGGAGATATAGCAGCAGCCTAGTTTATTAGGGTTTTATTAAGTTTTCCTTTTTTACCTTTTTGTCCTTATTGTAACTCTCATTGACTATATATACGGGGCTCTACACTTAGTTTGTATCCCTTTTTACTCACGATTATTTCAAGTTATTCACAAACGACAAAGGGCTATTTATTGTATAATACATCACTTTTCAAAACGTAATATTAACCTACTTCACAAAATACTAAAAAAATGTCATATTAATCAGATGTTTCTTCATGCACTTCCAGCAACCTTTTCCTCAACTTTATCTAAGAGAACCAAATTGTAGAAATTTACTACTAGTACCACAAGAACTCAACTTGAGCTCATTAAGTATACTGTTGTGACTTGAATACAAAAAAAAAANTGAAAAAATGTCACATTAATCAGATGTTTCTTCATGCACTTCCAGCAACCTTTTCCTCAACTTTATCTAAGAGAACCAAAATGTAAAAATTTACTACTAGTACCACAAGAACTCAACTTGAGCTCATTAAGTATACTGTTGTGACTTGAATACAAAAAAAAAAAAAGATTTCCGAAAGAATAGCTACAGGAACAAAATGTAAAGTATTTTTTGAGTACAAATTTTTTTGGGGGGATATACACTATCTTCATGTGTCAGCGCATTTAAAACTAAAAAAGTGAGGTAAATCAACAGTTGACGACTGACTTAAGTTTACCTAAAATACCACCACCAGAGGATGCACCAGCCAAGCTGTCATTCCCACTTCCGCTACCAAGTTCACAAGGCAAGTCTGCATCTCCATACGATATACCACCCTCAATGCAGCTGCCATTATAACAACCAACTCCACCTTTACCACCATGCCCGCCACCACTACCAGGGCCGTTGCTTAAAACTTTTCCTTGACCCACACCCCCTCTGCAGCCTGTACAAACACCATAATGAATTGAGATTAACCAGGTATACGGTACAACCACAATAATGAACAGCATTTTCTCCCTAGAAAGATTTTTCCTTCAAGAGGTAAATGGATGCAGAAAATTTTCGGATCATCTAACATTTTTCCTTCAAGAAGGTAAATGGATGCAGAAAATGTTCAGATCATCTAACACTTCATAGAAAGATAGATAGATAAGAAACACAAGTGCAGAATTTAACTTATCATGATCCATTAGAACTCAAACTGAAGGAAATTCAAAGCTTACCCATCCCAGACGTGCTAATTGTTCCAGAAGACAGGACAGAGATTGTCCTCGCCCTATGGAAATGAACAACAGATCCTACTATAAGGCCTTCAACAAGGATATCATCAACTTGGCAGATCTGAAGAAGCAAATGAATTGAAAAAGGTAACCAAACTAACATAAAAAAATATCCATACATACCACCATACAATCTTAACTAATAACCACCTGTAGGGTGAAGGACAGTGAAGAGTTCACATTGCAATCTTCAGGGGGTTGAAGCAGTTCAATGGGACAACCTTGAAATTCACAATTCAACTTTGGTGTCCTATAATGCATTTAATATGAATATTCACCAGAATCAAATAGCAAATGATAGAAACAGAACACACGGAATCTAATCTTACACTGCATCAGCGGATGCATTTTCCAAGGGACCACGCAAAACCGATCCAGGTCCAACCTTCAGGCAGAAATATGGTTATGGAAAAGGGGAAAAAAAGAGGAATGATTCACTATGATACAGCAAACAGGTGAAATTATACGCATAGCTCATGTTATGATAATTGGAAGAGAGAGAGAGAGAGAGAGAGAGTAATAGCCGCAAAACTCAGTGCATCATACACTAAACATCAGAGTGCACATTAAAAAGGTGAAACAAGAGTGTAAACTGGCAAAGTAGATTTAGGAGACCAATCTTTTATTGGGTCTGTCAAAGAGAACAATATAAAAAATTGTCATTTTATGTGTTTTGTTTTTGTAGTTTGAGGGTATTTTACTACTTTTGTGTTTATATGTAAGCTGAAGACTTAATACACTGCCCTTCGCATCATCTCTTCTCTCTTTCTTGTATTCTCTTCTCCCTCTCTAACCCAAAACTTTAATGTTTTGACTTGGTATCATAGCACTGCTCAAAATCCTTAAAGTTGCAAAAACTCGTCAAAAATCATCTAACCTTATTATCGGAATGGCTGACGTTAGCAACAACCTTGTCAGGAATTTCCGGCAAACACATGGAAAGATTGAACTCTCTCCTGAGATTTATGGTGATTTACTTGGTATTTTTTGAAGCCAACTAATTGGGTTTTGGAATTTTCAAATGTCTTTCAGTTTTTGAAGTACCGAACTGCGATCTGCATTCTGTGAGCAATCCAACTGTTGTTTTTGGTTCGATCCTACTGGGTAAAGTGCTACTTGGCCATATCTACATCTATGCTGTTTACAAATTCCACAATAGTGGCGTCTATAGGCTTTTTTATAATTTGGATATGCTATTAGGAATAGGTCTACATTGTTATGGCTCATTTATGTTAACGTCTAATTGAATTCAAGAAAGACCCTTATCAATACAAACGGAGTCCAACATATATATAAAACTTTGTAAGAACCGACAAGAACCGTGTGAATCAAGTAGTGTAATTCATAAGTCGAAGTGTTTTTCTTGTGTATTCTTGATAAACCAGCGTTTATATATAGATGTAGGAGGATTTATTTGGGAAATAAGAAGCCCATTTGACATCTTTTCATCTGCAAATAATTCTTGGTGTGAAAACACAGAGACAAAGGGTTAATCTTTGAATAGAAAAAGAGTGGATCCGCAACTGCAGAAGATATTATACCCAATAAGATAGATACTTTGAATCCTGCTTGACGAAACAAAAGATATTGTCTATAAATAGAAGTACGTCTTATTCATTAACATTTCGAAAATATTCTGCCATAGTTAGGACAGTCAAATCAACTCTGATACGAGTATCGGAGAATTGTTTTTCCCTTGAAAGCTACTATTTAGCTTTTGCCTATTGTGCAGAAACTGTTTGGCTACGTTTGAGGTGTGTCTTGGGCATAGTCCAATTCTTGGGTCTGGTCCAATTTTTCGGTCATGATTTGTTATGAGTGTATTACGTTATGCTTTATTTCTAGACTAAGGGTATTATAGAACTTTGTATGTATATTTATAAGTTGGGTGTAATTGTGTAGCTTAACACACTGCTATCTTCTCATAATTGTTTCTCTCTTCTTGTCATCTTTCTCTTCTCTTTCTCTACGCACTAATTACCTTAAAATCTAACTTGGTATCAAGGCAACAATCAAATCTAATACTTCAAGTTGTTAAAACTCATCAGAAATTTGTCCATATGCGCAAAAAGACCGCCGTCAATTTCTAACATGCTGGCGTCAACTTCAGACATGTTGGCATCAGCTTCTGACANTTTGCAAATAATTCTTGATGTGAAAACACAGAGACAAAGGGTTAATCTTTGAATAGAAAAAAGAGTGGATCCGCAACTGCAGAAGATATTCTACCCAATAAGATAGATACTTTGAATCCTGCTTGACGAAACGAAAGATATTGTCTATAAATAGAAGTACGTCTTATTCATTAACATTTTGAAAATATTCTACCATAGTTAGGACAGTCAAATCAACTCTGATACGAGTACCGGAGAATTGTTTTTCCCTTGAAAGCTACTATTTAGCTTTTGCCTATTGTGCAGAAACTGTTTGGCTACGTTTGAGGTGTGTCTTGGGCATAGTCCAATTCTTGGGTCTGGTCCAATTTTTGGGTCATGATTTGTTATGAGTGTATTACGTTATGCTTTATTTCTAGACTAAGGGTATTATAGAACTTTGTATGTATATTTATAAGTTGGGTGTAATTGTGTAGCCTAACACACTGCTATCTTCTCATAATTGTTTCTCTCTTCTTGTCATCTTTCTCTTCTCTTTCTCTACACACTAATTACCTTAAAATCTAACTTGGTATCAAGGCAACAATCAAATCTAATACTTCAAGTTGTTAAAACTCATCAGAAATTTGTCCATATGCGCAAAAAGACCGCCGTCAATTTCTAACATGCTGGCGTCAACTTCAGACATGTTGGCATCAGCTTCTGACAAGCAAACGTTGGCATTGACCTTGTCAAAAAACACATGGATTGATTCGACTTTCCCTCCTAAGATTTATGGTAATCTTCTTGGAATTTTTGAAGCCATCTAACCAGCCTTTCAAATTTTCAAATGTGTTTTAAAGTTTTTTCAGCACCAAACTCAAATCTAGGTTTTTTGTGGAATCTGGAGGTAGTTTCCGGTTCAAATCTGCTTGGTAAGGTGCGACTAGGGTAGATCTATGATGCCCACAAGGTTTTGTTGCACTTTGGAGTGGTTTTATGAGGCTTGGTGAGGTTTTTGTGCCAATTTCCACTGTCAGCGGTATTGTTTGACCCCAATTGGGTCTTTACTTGATTCGGTAATTACTATTCCACCACTATTGGGATGTTATTGTTGCAAATAAACNCAGTATTGTTTCAATTGGGTCTTTTCTTGATTCGGTAATTACTATTCCACCACTATTGGGATGTTATTGTTGCAAATAAACTATTTAGGGGTTGTAAGAGGTACTACTCCAATTGCAGATAAATCCTCAGGCTGTGATTTCTGGTGATTGCCTGAGTTTAATTTCCTATGATTTCTGTGAACATGTCAAATGGGAATGCAACCTTTACCGGTACAAGGAGATTACAAGAGAAAATGGGTTGAGTAGTTTAGGTGTTCTTGCATTGAAATTAGTTCGGAGAGATTAGATGGGAACAAATATTTGACATGGTCATGAGTTTTTTTGTTATCAGTTCAGGCCATTTCTTTGGATGAGTATTTAATTGGGAGACTAAGAAACTTACTAAGGCCGGTCCTCCACTAAAATAGTGGACATCTGACAATGCCTTAGCGATATCTTGGTTGCTTAATTCAATGCAAAATTCTATCAGTTGTGGTTTTTTGTTGTTGCATAAGATTTGGACTGTAGTATCCCACACATATTCTCAGAGGACAACGATGGTAAGGTATACGATCTTCCAAAGAAAGTTTGGAAGACTAACCAAAAAGATAAGACCTTCGTAGTTTATTGTGCAGAGTTGACTACCTGGTGGCATGAACTAAACTAATATAAGAGTTTTCATCCAGATTGTGCTCATGATGCTTCAAAATTTCGACAGAAGGTAGAGAAGGAACGTGTGTATGACTTTTTTACTGGTCCTAATATTGAGTATGATCAAATTTAGGTTTAAATCTAGGTTGTAGTCATTTATTATCCTATGAGAGGCCTATGCTTATATTCAACAACACGAGGAGAATGGGAGGATTGTTATGTCTTATATTGCCATTCAGAGACAGTATAAACTAGCTATTGTTATGTCTTATCCTATGAGAGGGACTCGAGCTTAGTCCAATCCAAGTCTACTCAATCAAGTGACACTGTTGCCAAGGATACCTTTTGAAGTGTGATTATTATGGGAAGACTACTCAATGGGAGTTTTGTTAAAAGTTGACTGGAAGTCCTACTCGTAAGCAAGGTGATGGCTGAGGAGGTAGTGTGCGATCTCATGCATACATGATTGAATCTTCAAACACCCCATCTCAATCTAGTGACACCAGTCCTACTAATTTTTCCTAGGATAATTTGCAAACTTGTAGGCGTCTGATGGCTCGACTTGACATTTTCCCTATTACAACTCCTAATCATGCATCTTCTTCCAACTTTACTCATCCAGGTAAATCTATTAGTGTATTTACTGTATCATCCTCAAATATTCTTTAGATAATAGATTCTAGAGCCATGGAACACGTGACAAATTCTTCTAGTTTTTTCTCTTTATATTCTACACGTTCTGGTAAGGATAAAGTCGAAGTGACCAATAGGCCTTTATCCTCTATTTCTGGAAAAAGTTCAATTAATTACTCACCCACCTTATCCCTCCCCTCAATCTCCATAACCCAAATTTTTTCACTAATTTATTGTCTGTTAGTAATAATACAAAATTTTTGAATTGTTATTTTCCATTCAATGGTATGTTTTAGGAACTGGAATTGAGAAAAATGATTGATAGTGATAAAGTACATAATGGTTTGTATTTCTTAGATGTTGAAGTTTCTTCTCAATCTACTCGTCAAGTTCTCCAAGTAAATGATGTTTCAGCCCTTCAACTCTACATCAGTGGTATAGATATTCGGGGCGTCCCTCATTTAGTGTCTTAAAACACATTTTTCCTAGTATAATGAAGCAATGTATCGAATAATTTTTTTTGTGATACTTGTGAATTTGTCAAGCATAAACGTTCATCTTATCCTACCACTAATAATAGAAAGATTGCTCTTTTTGTCATTATTCTCTCTGATGAGTGGATCCTTTCCGTGTTGTGTCTATCTTTGGCTATCATTGGTTTGCCACTTTATTGATTGTAATTCTTGTCTTGAATTTATTTACTATGCAATAATAGCGATAGTGGGATCAAGGATCAAAATGTCGTGTCGACACGTCCGAAACGTCCGAAACGTTTCGNACTGGTATAGATATTAGGGGCGTCCCTCATTTAGTGTCTTAAAACACATTTTTCCTAGTATAGTGAAGCAATGTATCGGATAATTTTTTTTGTGATACTTGTGAATTTGTCAAGCATAAACGTTCATCTTATCCTACCACTAATAATAGAAATATTGCTCTTTTTGTCATTATTCTCTCTGATGAGTGGATCCTTTCCATGTTGTGTCTATCTTTGGCTATCATTGGTTTGCCACTTTATTGATTGTAATTCTTGTCTTGAATTTACTTACTATGCAATAATAGCGATAATGGG